CGTGTCTCTATAAGTATCATCTCAACATTGAACTGAGAGATCCTGTCCTTGTCTGGAGGAGGACTCTCTAAAGATCCAAGGACTCTCTAAAGATCCTCCCTTCCTGAGAACAGATTTTTATATTTTATCACAAAATTTCAAATAATATCAATTTATTTAATATCTCATTAATTTTTGTAAAAAATTGACTGGAGTGTCAATGAAATATTTTGAATTGTCAACTGTCCATTCACTTGTGAAGATGAGTCAATCTTCTAGTCACAACTGAAGGCAACAAATACCCAGAATGGTGAAGTAGAAATGACGTTTTACTATCAACACCACAGTACTCGATGTTATAATGGCAATGCTACCTACCTAAACGTCGCACATAGCTTACGTCTACAATAGGTGTGAATGGAGCCAGGAAAGATTGCAGGAGATGGAGGCGAACCCCCAACAGCGTGACATCGCCCTTCCTTGGCAAACGTTCAAGAATCCTATTTTTTACGCATACGTTTTTTCGATTCTTTCTTCGTCTTTTAGCAATTACAGGCCGTGTTTACAGAGCAATGGCTCCATCCTTCCACCACGTGTTTGGCCTCTCTCTTGGGCCATATAAATATTCAGCCTGAACGACTATGTAATAATCCAATTATAATCACGAACCTATACCGCACTCTAAATGGATTTTATTTTAACTCTCACCACTGTATACACCACAACACACACAATGTTCAAAATGAAGTGAACTAACTCCTTTTGAATCGAACTCTATTGTAGATAAAATATTAAAATTGGAAAACATATGCAAAAATATCTAATTAATTAACTTGCTACAATAAAATTCATGTATTGAATTTGGAAATATGCTATTTCAAAAATAGTGATAAGCTCTCTCTCTCTCTCTCTCTCTCTGTTATTATATAACTAGACGAATGACCCGGGCAACGCCCGTGTTTTACCCGATTGAATGTTTTTATCCCAATACTATTTGTTACAATTATAAATTGGAGCCGTGGATGTCACTCTTGTGAAACGTCCCGCTCCAAACTTTACATGTACATTAGGTCAGCTGGTATTACCCCTCATTTTCACCGCTAGAGGCGCGAGCGAATTGACTTTTTGTAAATATACATAATTATAAAGATAGAAGCTTCTATAGAAGATAATGATCATAATGATGATGCGCGCGCATCCGTGACAGCGATGAGGAATTGAGGAAAGACGGTCGTGACTATATATTAATAATAAAATAATAATAATATAATAATTATTATTATTATTATTATCATTAGATAATGATAATGATCATAATGATGATGCGCGCGCATTCGTGACATGAGGAATTGAGGAATTGTTGACGGTGGAAAGACGGTCGTGACTATATATGTTGATAATAAAATAATAATAATAATATAATAATAATTATTATCATTATTATCATTAGATAATGATAATGATCATAATTATGATGCGCGCGCATCCGTGACATGAGGAATTGAGGAGGAAAGACGGTCGTGACTATATATGTTGATAATAAAATAATAATAATAATAATATAATACTTATAAATGACTGCGGCGTATAATTATAAAGCTATACAACCAGTTTAACCGCATAAGTTTCTTTTTATTTATGAAAATTCATTTTTTAATTTCAAAGAGAAATAATTTAATATTTCTAACTTTTGGATGACGTATGAAAAGGTTGAATATATGAAGAGTGATGGTCTATATATGAATGGATGACGTATGGAGGGTGAAAAATATGAAGAGTAATGGCGAACGGAAAAATAAAAGTGTCCAGGAGCGGGAATCGAACCCACAACCTTCTGCTTACCGGGCAGGTGCCATGTCCACTAGGCTATCCTGGACGTATTTCTCCGTTCGTAACTAATATTTAAACTGACTAATAATACTTATAAATGACTGCGGCGTATAATTATAAAGCTATACAACCAGTTTAACCGCATAAGTTCATTTTTATTTATGAAAAATCATTTTTAATTTCAAAGAGAAATAATTTCATATTTCTAACTTTTGGATGACGTATGAAAAGGTTGAATATATGAAGAGTGATGGTCTATATATGAATGGATGACGTATGAAGGGTGAAAAATATGAAGAGTAATGAAGAGTAAATATTAAATTATTTCTCTTTGAAATTAAAAATGATTTTTCATAAATAAAAATAAACTTATGCGGTTAAACTGGTTGTATAGGTTTATAATATAATAATAATAATAATTATTATTATTATCATTAGATAATGATAATGACCATAATGATGATGCGCGCGCATCCGTGACATGAGGAATTGAGGAATTGATTGAGGAGGAAAGACGGTCGTGACTATATATATGTTGATATATTATTATTATTTTAAATCTCTCTTAAACACATTTAGAAAACCATATGACGTACTGGAGTTACACAGCCGTTTGCCCGGTACATTACGATGGAGAACTCTGGGAGAATGTAGAAAGGAGGGACAATCCCAGACTGAAGGCGCTACGTAGCTCAACTCTGACAGCAATTTATTCTGTTCTATCTCTGCAAACAATTGATTGAAACAAAGGCCATCACCTGAAGACCATGGTAGGGCCGACATGATCCACCATGACCTAAGAAGACCGAATGTCATAGAGGATGGCAGCTACTCGGCTCTCCAATGAGCTCTCAACGACAGTTTCATTCGACAAAGCTTAGGATTTGGTGGTGGTGTCTTGTTCAAAAATTTCTTCCACATGGAACGGGTTGAATGCCATTGCCCCCGTTAGTCAGCCACATTTCAGAGTTCCCTGTAGGCCTCCACGGTTACCGTAGTGGCTCGGGGCTCACGAAGTCCCCACCGTACTTCGCCCTACAGGGCAGTCCCATAGAGGAGATGTTGGACTTCTGGGCGGGAAGCTTAAGATGTAAGACAATCTTTATGTATGAATACCATATTAGGTATCCCTTTCAACCTTTCTCCCAGGAGAGCCCCATGACATGGTCATAGTCTTGCACCCAAAGATCAGTAAGCCCATGTTCCATTCAGTGACGAGTTAAGATTCAGTCTAGACAATGATTCTGGACAAGTCTGGATAGAAAGAGACTGCTTTGGGGGAGGAGATTTAATGGTTTGGGCTGGCTTCATTTCGAACAAGCATACGCCTCTCCACATGATTGAGGGAGGCACATTGTTCATATAAGCAGGAACGAGATCGTTATAACCTCTATGTGAAACCTTTCAAGGATGTCATTGGTCCTAGTTCATTTTTATGGATGATAATGTTTACCCACATAGGATAGTGCTAGTTTCCTCGAGAGTGAAGATATTCAGGGGATCGATGCCAGATCCCCCGGAGCTGAATCCAATGTCTGGGATCCCTCATTGGAGCCCGTCATCCCAAATCTACCTCGAACTAAAATATCTCAATCTGGAGGGATGGCATTTATCGCCTAAAGACTTTCTCCAAAGTTAGATAATCAGCATGAAAGCTCATTGTGAGAGTTCTGTATAGCTGTTAGAAATACCATCTTCTATAATTGCCCCAATTTCTTTGAGGTATTCATCCTTATTTTTGTGTACTTTGAAATAATTTAAATATTTCTTTTTTATTGTTTCATTAGGCTTGATTGACTATATCTATAAAATATACTATTTGTATACCAATTTTAATAAATTTCAACAAATTATCTGTTAATAAAACTTCATTTTGTGTTTTATTTACTTAATTTCGGACACGTATATTTATATATATTTTTACTTTTTACTATTTACTTTCTTTACTAATTACTTTCTACTTTTGAGGCTTGAGAGATCGTTTAAATGAGGCAAGAAACTTATCTTCGGAGGCAATGTCGGGAAATCGTCTGTGGCGTTCCTCTGGGTCGTCTGCGTCATCACCCTCCAGCCGTTGTGCCGGAATGCCAGACGTACGCCGTTTCGGGGAGATTTCCTTTCTGGAACGTGCATGACTTGTCTTCAAGAACAAGTCGCCGCTGGCTGTCATCTCCACAGACTTGTAGTTCGCCTTTGACAACGTGGACCGAGAGTTCCTGGGCTCCCAGCTGCCCTCCATCGGCCTGGTTCCGCTTTTAGTGGAATGACTTCACTTGCTCTATGCGGAGGCCACGCCGTTCCTGCACATATGAAACGCACTGAACGTCACATGCTGGAGCGCTCCCTCCTGGCCGCCGTTCCCATATCACGTTATCTCCGGCGTTGGGCAGCCATGACGATGTGTCCCCCCACCTTTTCAACCCTCTGTCGCTGCTTCCTTCGGGAACCGTGCAGCGTACATAGCTCTGAGGTTGGCCCTGCACGCTTTGCCTCATCTGGGGAACCCGGCGTCGAGCCAGCATCGCCTGCAGCTCTAGCGACGTGTTGCTGGTCCACTGCTATTGCGCCGTCCTCTTATCCGAGAGGCGTTCTTAATCATCAGGCGCCCTGGATCTACGCGGTGGGTCTCGATGAACATGCCATCACCATCTCCTCAGTGGCGAATTACGCGATCTACTTTTTCTTCGTGGATCGCGAAATGCGTGGTGTCGCTGGAGACCCGCTGACCAAATTTCATCGTACTCTGCATAGGTTGTAGAGTAACCTTGTGCAATATTCATTGTATATAGCATATATTTATTTTTATCATCATATCATTGTGCCTATGTACATCTATGTAATCGACTAGATGTAAATTTTAAATTGTCTCTTACCTTGTTTAAAGAAACCCAAAGAAAGGGGACCGGACAAATTTCACAAAGATGCCAGGGTAGTGTGCTACATTGTACAGATCTGTTCATATTATATTTGAAGCATTTTTTGTATATATTATAATAATGTTAACAGTAGAAAACAAATACATTTTTTCTGCTCACATATATTTCTGAAGTCAAAAATTCTATAGTTTCTTTGATATTTCATAAAATCCTGTAGACTGAATACAATAGTAGCGGTCTGCTCGATTAAACTAGCTTTACTCCAGGCTGGTTTAGCAGTGATGTTCTAATCAATATGTTTCTCTGCTGCCGCTAGCCCAGATGAGGTGCAGCTTTCCAACCTGTAGCTGTATAAAAGCGGAGTGGTTCGATTCCACCTTCTCGGCGCCTTATTTAAGGAACTGTCTGGGCGCGAAAATCATACACTTTGGTTAGTAGCCCGTAAAACCATATTCTCTCTGCTGCAGTAACGGCTGTTGACAAACACTGTTGAGCGTCTTTAAGATTCTCAATATTGACACACGTCAATCTCACAGAATGTGATAGAAAAAGAATTCTAATATCAAGAAATTTCCTATTTAGCATTTCGTTTATATTGGGATGCACAAGTTTGACACGGCGATTTTTTTTTTTCGGTTAGAAAATCTAATGAAATTGAAACAAAATTAATATTAGATGCTCAGAAATGACTAGTACCATCTCTCGTCAATTTCATATTACCTTTATGTGATTAGCTTTACAAATAAATACTTATTACTGGTATTATTATTATTATTTCGTGTATACACTACATATATACTCAGAGAATCTGTATAAAACTGAAAGGTCTTAATAAAAATATTTTTGTTGTTGTTATTATTATTTATCTTCAATTAATTAATTCACCAGAATCAAAAGCAGCCATAACAACTTCAACACTACAAGTGTTTGTTGTCGTTGTTGTCAGGGGGGAGCAATCCATACTTCTACTCCCGCTGACCGTGGTAAACTTATTTGCTCTTCTCGGCAAAATTTGATATACCTAGTTTACTAAACACAGAAACCCGGAATTAATATATACAGTTATTAGCGTCATGCCCAATTCTTTCTTAATTCTGTCACCGTTTGCTTTTGGTTCAGTGGTAGAATGCTCGCCTGCCACGCGGGCGCCCCGGGTTCGATGCATTTTTTTTTACAATTTTTAAAACTCATTTATATTATTAAAATATATGTGCTTTTCCTGTCTATGTACAGATTTATGGTATATGTACACAAGTATACAAATATGTATACAAGTTATTTGCAAATTGCGTGGCAAATTTGCCCTTTCGCTCGCAAGCAGCGCCTCTAGCGGTGAAGATGGGAGGTAATATCAGCTGACCTAATGGACATGTAAAACGTGTTTTAAGAGGACATAGAGAAAAATCTGGAAAATATATTTTTCGGATTTTTAGTCAAGAAAAATAAATTGACAGGTTCTGGGAAAAAGTAGTTGTTTTTTATTCAGAAAATGATGATGACAATATTGCTGTATCATATATATATATTAAAAATAAAGAAGGCATCTCCTGACTACAAGCACATGTGCTTTTTAGATGGCAGAGCGCCATCTAGTGGAGTAAAAATAAACTAAACGTTTATTTAGCTTACTCCGAGATATTTGGTCAGGAGATGCCTTCTTTATTTTTAATATCTACATATATAATATATGGTAATTTAAACCAACAACCCCATACTGTCTATATAACTTGTAATAAGATTGTCATGTTGTATATATAAACACATCTATAAATAATTATGCGCATGATTAATCTGTGTCATTGCATCGCCCTATGTAATGTAATTTGTACAAAGTGGATAAATAAATAAAATCTGTAATAGATTTAAGAGTTGAGCTAAAGCAGAGATCGAGCATAGTATTGCCAAAACAACAAAGTCTAAAGATGGAAGTCATAAATCAGGTCGATTTACAATTCCCACAAACAAGGCCACCCACACTGTCACATGTGGTGGAATGCAGAGACCCCTCTCACACCTGGACAGGTAAAGGCGCCCTTTCTCAAACGCCCCTGTCACATAAGGTCGCCCCGTCTTTAACCTATATATACATCACCTTACAGTGACTTGACAGCTCAGTTCAGTTTAGTTTAGTTCACCCTTAGTGCAAGCCGCGTCGGTCGTATGTTATGTCGATCTCATCCAACATGTAGTTAGGAAGAACTCGTCTATCTCCATCTTTTCGCTCCTCGCTCAACTTTTATCTATTAACGGAACTTTCTTAGTGCAACTGTGTCTTCGTTTTTTGTGTGGATATCCCCAAGCTTTTCCACTCTGCCTCGACCACGACTGCCTGTATTTTGTGAGAACTTTTAAAGGTCTTCCAAGGTGCAGAGAGGTACTGGAAAACTCTACATCCTGACTGTTCCTCTTGGTCAACACAGTACAACAAGAGCTACCAGGACTTCAACAACATTATTTCAGTAGTCGACAGGATACTACAAGTCGACAACACACACAACAACCAAACATTCAACATTATATTTCAGAAGTCGACAGGATTCTCTACAAAAGCTACTGGAATTCTCAAATCATTACATGAGCCGACAGGATGACCAAAACGAAGGATGACACAACGAAAAGGTAAGAAGACTGTTCAGATAGGAAGCGAGAAAGAGCGAAGATGGAGGAACAAGCCCGCCATACCAACGAAACAACCAAGCAATCTCTCCCCCCAACAAGAGACGATATTTACGGAAGAAACGCCGCCCCAACGGACTTCCGCATACCCGCTAACCGATCGCCAACGTCGGGAGCAAGCTGTCTGACCACCCCAACAACACAGCCGAACTTCCCACACGACATGGAAACCGAGCAGCGATGTGGCCCAAACCCTGTGACAAGTTCCACACCTTCGACTTGACATCGTCGAGACAATGCTCAAGGCAACAAGCCACAATCAACTTCACAGAAGCTACAAGCGTCTACAAGCTCTACATGGAGCGTCTTCAACGTCAGCAGGAATACAAGCCAAGACCAAGTTTCCTGACTGAACTTTTATCACACAACTGTAAGTTTTTAAAAACCTACCTTAACTTTATCCTCAAGTTCACAACTTGATTCCCTATAAATTTTGTACTTATATTTTCACTTTAAGCATTTTAAAATCAATTTTTACCTTTTTTATACCATTTTTTTATTCAATTTTTAAAACTTTAACACTCTCATTTATAAAATTTACTTTAATTTTTAATCAGATTATAAATTTCAAGTTATTACTCTCAATTTTGCTCATAAAAAAAAAAAAATTTCGCCCATCACGCATTTTTACCAATTTACTAATTTTACATGTCTATCCAAAATTTATCTAAAATGGTACTATCCAAGTCTACAACTTGCGAAAAAAAATCCTTATTATTATTTTTAAAAAATCTCATTCATCATAATTCTCAACTTATTTTTGTTTTACTTATTAGTTATCTTTATACCAAAAGACCAATATCTTTATCAATTCTAAAAATTTGGTAATGTTCATCATTTTAAGTAAGCGCCCAATTTAAATTATTTGTAACTCTCACGACATTGCCCTTTTACAAGAATAATTTTAACGCTACCATAATCAACGATTTGAAAAATATATTCAAATTTTAAATATAAATTAACATAGGTGAAACGCATTTTTTTTTAAATTGCAAAAATCGGAAGATACAATATCTTCAAAAACGCCACTAGGGAAAACAACTATCTTTCCCAAAACAAGTTAAAATTAAAGATTCACTCCACTTCACCGCCAGTAGCTAATTTAAGTCACAGCCTTCCAAAACGATTACAATCGTTAATATTCGAGGATAAATACACTCCCTCGTCTTTTCCTTTTACATGCATGATTGGTCATTAACACATTTCTTTCAAAAAACCTTACAACACCCTCGCATCACTCTCTCCAATTGGCAACAATTAATAACGCGCGACTCACAACAAATCCAATTTCGAGCTGCACAAGCTCCATATCTCGTCGCCACAATAAAATAATTTCACATTAAGCGTGCCACATCCACTAACAGTCAAATATTCTCTCGATGTGTTTCATACAACAACCACCCATGACTTTATTAAATTTGTTATTCATGGTGAAACAGGTTAGATTTGTACCAAACTAAGACTTCACGTGACACCTTTATATTCACATTTCTCACTTCGTGTCACAGTGCCACACTACAAAACTTTTTCACTTTTCAGGCCAAAGACGCCCTTCACGCCTGTGACACCACAATTCACCCCAAAGCGTGTCCACGTCGAAAGTCGCACTTTCACCACACATCTAAACCTGACATCACCTAATAACATTTTTTCTAAGTCTAAACTAAATGCGAAACACAACAACTACAAACACTGAGAAAATCATATCTTTCAATTATAGCAGAAAATTGCCAACTCAACAAAAGGAGAATATCTTCTCTCCCCCCTCAAGCAGTCATCTTGACCGCTAGCTTCATGACGCCATTTTGAACACATGTGTCACACTACTCATTTAGATTTCCTCGAGAATCTCACAAATCTCACCAACGAGATATCACAACACAACATACTTTAAACATTTTACATGTTAATTGATAACACCAATTAAAACAATTTGGTTAAGTCTTATATAGACTTTTTAACGCGCGAAAGAGAAATCATTCTCTACATACCAGCATTGAGGACAAACGAAAAGATCATTTCACATATTCCCAGTTTCAGAGTCATAGAAACACCGATGTTACCAAAGGGATATAATCTAGTCACACACCACAACTGTAACTTTTCGTCAAAAGAGACAATTTTTGTTCAATTTTACACTACTTAAAATTTATCCAATCATTAATAACCTTCAATTATATTATAAATTTTGTATAAAATCTTGAATAATTATTCTTATTCTTACCTTTCAATTATATAAACAAATTTTTTAATCCAACATTTAAAAAAAAAAAAAACCTTTAATCAAATTTACTTTTATTTTTCATGATATTATTTTAGTATTGTAAAACATCTAATTGTTTCAAAAATTATTTTTATTTTATTATTTATTATATATTTTATATATTACAGGTTTAATTTTGTCCACTTACACTTTTTGTACCCGCAATCATATTTCTATATTTCTATTCACTATATTTTATTTGTTTAAATACCTTTATTATCTGACAAAGTTTATCATCCACTATCGGGCATCTACAACAATCGTTTTCAACAATCATATTCTTTAACCAATCCCCTATATTTTTCATCACTATCTTTTCAGTCATTGCGTCACATCAATGTAGAAAAACGACAGCACTGCTTGACAATTTATTTTTTGATTTCGTAATTCAACAAACGCCTTGAACACAGTTCCCCAGACTTACAAATCCAAACTTCTGGTCTGAACA